GCTAGAGTTTCTTAGAAAAATGCAGAATGAGAGAAATACGATAAGTTTTTACGAAAATAATAACAGAAATGTGCTTTAATTAACCGATATCCAGAGAAAGCAACAACAATTTAAAAGCAATGCTCGAATTATAATATTTCGGAATCATTTTTTCGGTAGAATTTAAAGCAAGCGAAGGGCATTTAAAGATGTCAGGAATTGACGGTTCGTCCGTCCTATTGACCGCCCTTATTGATATTCCACAAATATCTCTTCTACAAATATAATTATTTTAGAAATTCTTCGCTCACCGTAATTGCGGCCCGATCTCTTAACGCCATCATTACACCAGAATAAGCAGGATCTTATAAAATATTCGTTTCTCCAATTGCAATTGGCTTCACTTTTCCTCAAGGAATGTTCACCTCGAATTAACGACTCGGACAGTTTGAATTTGTTTTGTAACTGGTAACCGATCAGACGGAAGTTCACGGTGTGCGCATGCAGCACGCAGGGGAAAAAGCGCGGAAATAGAAACATCTGATTGGTCGATTCTACCCAGTGGTGTGTTAACCACGCTTTGGAAAAAACTTGAACATATTGTATGTACCTAAGTGGTAAACAGGTTTGTTGTCACTTACACGAATATACATATACATGACATTATATAGAAATGAAATCCAAAATTGACGAAATGTAACAAATTAGCATTTCAAACAATGTTTTGCATAAACTGAGAATATTAATGTTTTACGATGAAACAGCTGATCGATATTTTCTCAGTAAACTGTTGTTTATCGTACATTCAGCTATAAATGCATACGTATCGTACAAACTGATTTTGTAAATCTTGCCACATTTTTTTATATTATTAGTATTCTTGTTGTTTTATGTTAACGACAATTAGTAACAAGATTCGTTAAATTGAAGGAACATTACAAATTCTGTGTAGATGATAACATTGCTTGGCAAATGTCATCACTGACAAGCGGCAGAATATCTTCGCGTAATTGTTGATCAAATAGACAATTGTTATTTAAAATATGTCTATTAGCGTCGATATTAAATTGAAACGGGCCAGTAAAATATATCATGAAGGAGTATGTTCTTTTTACTTCAAATAACGATTGAAGAACGAGAAACACAGAGGTTATGTTTCAGGAGGTCGTCGCTGGTATAATATTATTAAAAACAAATTCGGATGTGAAGCACGATGGAATATTTTTAAGCATGGACGGTTCGGTTAATTTACAACTTAGTTCCAAGAATTTTGGTATATTCGAAGCTTTTTATAATTCTGTAAAGGTTAATACAATTATTCACTTATAATAATCAAAGCTCGTTTAATTTTTTTTATTTAACGATTGAGATTTATTTGATATTTTCTATTAACATATTTTCAGCCCATACAGTTAGTGCAATACACTTTAGATGCTTCTCCAAGTGGCAAAATACCTAACGGTAAAACTGAGATACCATTTGAATTACCATTGAAGCCTAGAGGAACTAAGTCTTTGTACGAAACCTATCACGGTGTTTTTGTAAACATACAATATCTAATACGTTGCGATATAAAAAGAAGTTTCTTAGCAAAGGATGTAAGCAAGACACTGGAATTCATCGTGGAAGATAAAGTGCCTTCTAAAGTAGAAAAAGAATCCAAGAAACCGGTCACTTTCAACATTATGCCAGAATCGTTGCAAAATGCAAGAGATAGAACTAATGTACCCAGATTTTTTATTTCAGGAAAATTGGATACTTTGTATTGTAAAATCTCCGAACCCCTAACAGGAGAGGTAAGTAAAAATCTGTGTTTGGTACATAGCATTGTTTGTATAACACATTACATACAATACCAAATTTTAGGTGGTAATCGAACATTGCGAAGCTGTAATAAAATCGATCGAACTACAATTGGTAAGAGTGGAGACTTGCGGTTGCGCAGAAGGATACTCCAGGGATGGTAAGGTTTTTATAATTAAGGTAATGATTTTACAATTTATCTTGCGGTACTATGTTTTAGCCACAGAGATACAAAATATACAGATCGGGGAAGGAAATCCGTGTATAAATTTGCCTATACCAATATATATGATATTTCCCAGGTTGTTCACATGCCCCACGTTAAGTACAAGTAACTTTAAAGTTGGTGAGATCTCTTGTATACATTTTACAAACATTATTCAATTATACTTTCTTATTTTATTATAAGGACTGTACTTTTTACAGAATTTGAAGTGAACCTTATTGTGGTATTTGAAGATGACTACTTAGTTACAGAAAATTTTCCCATTATATTATCGAGGCACTAAATTTTCTACTAAAATATACAGTGTTGTATATAAAATATGTATGTTATTTACAAGTTATATATATATTTCTAAAAATAAAACTAATTTTATGTTGAATTGTGTCACAAATTTAGAATTGATTCCCAAAACTTGTCAGGCTACACTAAAATTCTTTTAATAAATTAATATAGATTCTCTGAAACAGTCGCGTACCCTTGATTTAGTTTCTTATGTTCTAATTTTGCCAAAATTAATGTTTTTATACGATTCTGCAAAAAGCATATGTGGCACCTCTAGTGGAAGAACAATGAAGCTGCTTTCGATGTTCGTACAGCGCCCATTGGTTCAGTGATAGAACGCTCAAACTATTCGCCAAAATCGATGGTCGGTAATTCGGCGAACAGTTTGAGCGTTTTGCCGCTGCAATGAGTGGCGCTGTACGGACATCAAAAGCAGCTTCAGTTTTGCTCCAATAGAGGCGCCACTCCGTGGTGGTACTGCAAAATAATTTGAATGAGTTACCCCTCTATCTTATACGAAATGCATGGGGATGAATGATAGTGCTGTTAAATGGAATGCAGTTCACGTTTGAGTAAATGTACAATGTTGTTTTAAATTAATTAAATAGTGTTTGTGCTTATGTGTTCAAGATAAAACTGATACAAACGATTTACATATCGGCTATTAAAAATAATATCGGCTGATTGAAATGACTGGTTTATAGATGATACCTAACCTAGCTTTGAAAATTGTATTGTTGGAGAACTATATAGAGTTTGTAGTTTACTGAAATTACATTATTGTGATATACAATTAATAAAGGTACTGTTATGGAAACGTATGATATTGATGATAATATCGATTTGTGTTAATTAGAAGATATTATAAAAATCATTTTATTATAATCATAATCGTAAAATTTATATGTGCGATACATACACGTTAACGTGTAATATTAAAACTTTGTTTAGATGTTATATAGTTAGATTGCGGATCATTATGCGAATCTGAATTTGTGTAAACAATTTCCAACGTTAAAGTATGAGAGAGGCTAACAAATTGAATTAAAACATTATCAAGCTTTATCGAGGCTTGTAGTTTATTCCGTTTAGAAATGCATAAAATCTGCAGTCTACTAGTAATAAAAGTTCTTTACTTGATACACACTTCAAATACACACGAAACTTAGTCAATTATGATTTTTGATATTTATTTTAAATAATTAGTTTGGTTATGGTATTAAAAAATTAAAATTGAACACAATCTATATTATCTATCTATTGGATATATATATATTGAATGTTATTTTAGTACAAAGTGCAGTTCAAGCTAGTTAACAGGTTCAATTTCTCAATGTTGTTCCTGTTTAGCTAGCCGTGTAAGTAATACAGGGAATTATGTCACCTAACCTCTACAATATTCAAACACTATAATATGTCAGTTACGTGATATGTACTCATGGATATATAATAGGCCGCAAACTGCTAACACTAATGCAAATGTCCAATTTTCGTTGCCATTTTCAAAGTGGTTTCAAATCGATTGGACTTTGGCCTCATTGGTGAAAGTGGTGTGGCCATACAACGCGTGTGATATTATTTAATCTATGAGTTATATATGGAGTCCACGCTTTATATTGAATATCTCTTTCTTAAGCCATATTCAAACACTTGTCAACTGTTGATGAATACATATTTTATCTATTAAGAGAAGTTAGACATCTGTTGTAATATTGAGCTTATGTATTGCTGGATATTAGACCTTACAGTATTTTAGCAGATACCTTATTATACAATAATGGACATGGAGAAAGAAGAACTGCTCGAAGAAACATCAGAATTGTGTGTAAATTCTCAAAACGAAATGGATTTAGAAAATCATCAAGATATGGTTTTCACAAATGAAAGTGTGTCAGTAATGAAGGATATACTGGAAGCCAAAATTGATATTCATAACAGAATGTCGGATACAAGTCAGTGCAGTCAAACATTGGAAGAAGATACTATATCCGCTTACGACACAAATGCATGTAATAGTTCTACCATGGAAGACTACGTCGTGGAATCAAACACAGACAGCATTACGGCCACAGACGATTTAAGGCACTTTGATGTTTTGGATGATTTAGAACGTCATCCGGATCAGAACTGTTCAGATATGGACTCTGATACAAATGAAAGTATGGATTCTGATGTACCTGATGAAGAAATTGAGGCAATGTTAGAAGAAGGTAATTTTTCATGAAATAAAGAGTTCTGTTATTGGAATATATATTACACATTTTCATGTTATAAACTTGTGGGTATAAGTTCTAAAAAAAACCATTGAAAGTACAATATATGAAAGTATGAAGTATGTGGATGGAAGAGTTAAACAAATTTAAAAAAAGAAGAGATTATTTGTTCTTTTTTTTCCACTTCTTACATAGATTGTACAGCAGCAGAGAACATTTATTAGTTGAGTATTATATGCTACTATTAGGTTTACCAGAGGAATTTAAAGGCAAAAGAAAAGACAAGAAAGATAGTGTGCCATATGAAGAAAAAGAGAAACTTGTCTTGGATGGTAAGCATGTAAAATACTTTTAATTGTTTTTATGCAAGTCGCATGTAAATATGATCCTAATTACCTACGTCTGTTTTAAGAAAAAGGAACAAAACATTAAATTTTAATGCTATTATATTTTTTTGTAGAAATTGGCCACAATCATTTCGATGTGCTTCCCGAGGGTTGGGTGCAAGTAACACATAACAGCGGGATGCCTTTGTATCTTCACAAACAAAGTAGAGTTTGTACTCTTGCCAAACCATATTTTCTTGGACCCGGCAGTGTCAGAAAACATGAAGTACCTGTGAGTGCTATACCTTGCCTTCAGTACAAAAGAGCTCTTCAAGAAGAAGAGGAAGAAAGGCAGAAGGAAAAAGAACGTGATCCAAATACAGAAGCCTGTAGTCTACCTAGTGCAAAAATTGAAACGATTCAAGAAAATCGAGCAGCGCATTCTTTAGACAGTGAACAATTAAGAAGTTATTGCCAATCCCTTTTTCGTTTTAAAGCTATCAAAGTAATGAGATTTCAGTAAGTGCTGTTTGCAATGATATCCTTAATTCACAGGCAATTATTTTTTACTTTAATCAGGTTTTTCATTATTACCGTTACACTTTCAGGTCATGGTCGGCAAGAAGAAAGTTTACGAAAAATAAAAAACATCGTAAACAGCTGGAACGACCAACTTTACCTGACGGAACGAAATTAATAACATTTCCAGTTAGTAGTACTAACTTGACAGGTAATAGCAGTGGTGTCACAGGAGATGACAACGGTGGGCAAAGACCACCGAAACACTGGATAATGAATCCTTCGGGAAAAAGTTATGTTTGTATACTCCATGAGTACGTACAACATGCGCTTAAAAAGCAACCAACTTATAAATTTAAGGAATTAGGTATGTCGAAGAAAAAGTAATTTTTATATATTAATTTTTTATATATATATATTCTTATATATATTTGTGTTGAGGCAAATATTTGAAGAAACTGGACACATTCGTTTCAGAAAATGCTGCAACACCGTACTCCGCTGTTGTTTGCATCAACGATATGGAATATGGAAGTGGTTTTGGTAGCAGCAAAAAACAAGCAAAGGCAAATGCTGCTCGCAAAACCTTAGAAATCCTAATCCCTCAAATGAGAGATAAAATTTCTGGCGATAACGCAGGAGATGCAGCTACTGGTAACAACAGCCGTATGATCAAAGCATCCAGAACAAATTCCGACGCGGATCTGTCGTTCTTTGATGAAATCTCGATAACCGATCCACGAGTCGCAGAATTTTGTGCCAAAACAACAGAGCCATCTCCACATGCTATTTTAATTACATGTTTACAACGAAATTATGGCCTGGGAGATATGCATATTAACTATTCTGTAAATACTTTAAAGCATCAACGCAATGAATTTACAATGCGAGTAGGAAAACACGAAGCCACTGTCGTAAGTAGTTACATATTAATCCAAAATGGATATTTATAATGTGACTTGACTCTTCGATTAATCTCAGTATGATCGTGTGAAAATTTCCAATTAAATTGTGCTTTAATCACTAATCATTATTTCAGGTATGTCGTAATAAAAAAGATGGTAAACAACGAGCAGCACAAGCGATTCTGCAACTTATGCATCCTCATATACAGTCTTGGGGTTCTTTATTGAGGCTCTATGGATCTCGTAGCGTAAAGTCTTTCAAAGAAAAGAAACAACTGGAACAAGAAATAACGTTACTGCAAGGTAAAGCCGCGGTAAATCAACCAAATCACGCTATTTTAAGTAAACTTAGACAAGAAATGCGCAAATTAGCCGAACAACGGCAGGCAATACAACCTATTGGTAAGTTCGTGCCACCAGATTTGCCAACAGGGTCTGCAGCCAACTTGAACAATGTAGATTTATAGCGTCCTAGTCAATCATGTGAATCCTACAAATCGAACTTCATTTCATAAAGATTTGAGACGAAGAAAGTACTTCGAATTTCTTTACCATTTTCTGTCTTTCGTGCACAAAGTGTATTTTGTATGCCCAATTTTACATTGTAAAAACAACATGATTCTATTGAAATGGTGCTGATTATCATTATTGTGTATACCCTTTAATATTTTCATTTTTAACACACTGTACAAATTCAACGTTTGTAATAGGATATGAATGGTGTAATAGGAAGCTGGTTGAGAATAAATGAAACTTTGACCTGAACTTCAGTTATCAACAATTGAAATATCACAGAGTACTACCTCATCTGCCGCCATATTCTTGTTGCACCATTATAGATTTTTAAATTAGATTTACTTGTTATACTATTATAGATATAGATACACTTTTTTAAATTAGAATTACTTTTATATGAGGAGGCTAATACTATATATTTCTGTTTAAATTATGTATTTAAGATGATTTTATATATATGAGCATATTGAAAGAACAGTGATTTTGAGAACATGACCATTTTATTTTCAAAGAACTGATTACAATAAACTATACTTCAGTTCTGTGTATGTAATAAGGCATCGAAACTTGCATATTAATAACAGTGATAATGTATTCAAAAGTATTACAATTATTCTATTGAAATTACTACTAAAATTAATATAAATAAATGATCAAATTACAAATAAATCATTTAAATTGCTTCCACGATTATATACATTACTTTATTAACTGTACCTTGTCATCTTCTTTGGCACTTCACATAATTCATTTCTACATTATTTCCTTTTTAAACCTAGATTTTATACGATACTTGAATAGTCGCTAATGTTCAACAATGTGTTAAGACAAAATTAGTAACACAAACAGTGAGTTCTATTTCTACGTTGTCTTTGCTCTACTGACCACTATATATGTAATCATAGATATTATATTGTTTATATATCAAAGGTTATTTAAACGATTTTGTTTACTTTAACTGTTATTTTACTTGTGTACA